ATCTCATTGAAGCATAAAAATGGAAAAGAAATAAGAAACAAGAACAAAATCCTAAAAGTTACTCAAACAGTTTACCGTGATTTATCTTCCTCAAACAAGAAACCAGACAACACTACAAAGGAAGATATTAAGAGAAAGATATAGAATGTCAACTCAGAAATACTCCCTAACATAGAATCCTTCGAAATAAAACAAGCTATGACACAACTAAAGAACACTAAAGCTCTGGGCCCAGATGAAATACTTGTAGAAATGTTGAAGGAGGGTAGTGAAATTATTCTCTAAGTATTGAAATATTTTTTCAACTAATGTCTTCACAGAGGAGAAGTCTCAGATGATTGGAATGAAATTTGGAAAGATGGAACCACGAAATAAAACAATGGAGACCATGGTTAGGAAAGAGAAGCAGAGGAAGACCACAAATGAGATGGAATTGGAAGAAAGTAGCGCAAAATAGGAAACACTGGATTGATTTGGGGGAGGCTTATGTCCAAAGTTGGATTTTAAGGCTGAAGAAGAGAGGAGACAGAGAGAGAGAGGAGAGAGAGAGAGAGAGTTAATCTTCCAATTTTTCTGAGAAAACAACTATATCATTTGCATATCTTATATTATTTTCATACTCTACTAGGACTTCTTCGAAATATGTTGTGAGTAAATTATGAAGAACAGAGTTTATCATACCTGCTAAAAGAACACTTTTAAAAAAATCTCAAGAGAAAATAAAAAGTAGGATATTGAATCAATTAAAGTTATTAGAATACCACTAAAATTCCATATTAAATCTATCTATTAACTGATCTTTAATAGAGAGACTTAATATATGGAATTTTAGTGGTATTCTAATAACTTTAATTGATTCAATATCCTACTTTTTATTTTCTCTTGAGATTTTTAAATCCAAAAGTGTTCTTTCGCATGAAGTAACTAACTGCACGAAATCCCAATTTCACAAAAATTCAAATATTTTGCATAATCGTCTGTTATTTAGTCAATTTAAATACATTAGACAAACTTTTATGATGCCATATGCTGTTTTAAAACTTCTCAGTGGATCTACATCATTTTTGATAGCTACTTTTATAATAGCCCATTATAAAAATGATGAATATTAATAGTTTTATTAATTTTAATAGAAATAATTAATATATAAAATAATGAATGTATTATATGTATGTAAAATTATTTACAACATTAGCAATTTTATAAAATATGTGGACTTTATTGCAATTGGGATATACCATCGAATAAAATTAGAGAAACAAATTAGGTACTTTTTTTTATTTAAATAGCTGTAATACCAGCTGGAAAGTTCAAGCGTTCAAGTCAGGGCTTGATAAGAATTCTGTATATCACTAGTTTCGTTCTTTTTGTAACTAGGCTTGTTGTTAAAAAATTTCTTAATCCATAATTGGCTCTATTTGCCAGATATATCCCTCTGTTAATTTCTGCACTTACTGCATTATTCTGATTAATTTGTGAGACTAGGTATATAAACTCTCTTTCTCCTTCGAAAGTATATGTTCCGATAGTTGATCTTCAGCTACAAGGTGCAGCTTGTATATATTTAATGTATATGTATATATGTATATATACATATATATATATATATATATATATATATATATAATATATATATATATATATATATGTGTATATAATTTGATACTTTCATATATTTTCGTCTTACTAGTGTTAACCTCTAGCCCCATTCTTTTTGTTGCTGCTTCAAGTGTCTTGAATGATTCGACCACGTCCGCCTTTCTTCTTGCAATAATGTCGATGTCATCGGCGTACACTATAGTTTATTTTTATGAACGAGAGAGTTAATTAGCATAATTTTAACTGGTATCTCCGACCACTCCATGGGCGGTGCTCAAGATAATTGAAAAATTACTTTGAATAATTGTAAAAAATAAATGAATTATTTCAGTGTTATAAAGTGTTATGTGTATGTAAACAAAAGTGACCTCTTTTATCACACACTATATTAGAACTGACTGGCCTACATTAAAAAAAAGTTTTAAAAAATTCACATTTTTTTTAATTTTTAAAAATTACAAAAGAGAAAAAGAGGTTTTTAAAACCGTCTAAGGTATGTTAAATAGATGAATAAAAATATTAATATAAAACTTACAGCTACTTGTTACAAATCCAAATCAGATTCAGAAGATGAACTTTCAGAACCAAGATTTATAATATCTGGCTCGATCATTTATCAGTAATATTGTCCAGCTTCCACATTTTTTCCTCTTCTTTAATAGTGTGATTTACTGCCTTTTCATAGTTTTCAGGTTTTACATTATTTACGGCCTCCAAAAACAACTGTTTAACATCATGAATTTTAAAAGTGGTATTTTTTCTTGAAACTTCACTCTTTATCTGTGCCCATACTAGTTCAATCGGGTTTAATTCACAATGATATGGTGGGGATCTAAGTACTGTCATTCCACGATTTTTGGCAATTTCATCAATTTCGTATTTTTTAAATTTTTCTTTATGAAGGGCACACAACGAATAAAGTTCCTTTCTTATAGATCCGGGATGGTACGTAATATTTTTTGAACTCAGCCAATTCTGCAAGTCTTTTTTTAACCACTTGGTTGTGGGCAGTCCTTCTATAAGTCTGGAGTGATAACTTGCATTATCCATTACTATTACACAGTTCTTAGGAAGAAGATCTATCATTTGTTCGAACCATTCTTGAAAGACATCAGCGTTCATGTCTTCATGGTAGTCACCGGTACGAGTTGATTCAAAAGTTAATAAACCACCTTCAACAAAACCGTCTGAACTGCCAATGTGTACTATTATCAGCCTGCGTCCCTTTCCTGATGGTGGGTTTATACCAGTAGATAAGTTATTTACAAAAGCGTGCATTTGACTTGTAACAGTTTCATCCTGCCAAAATTTATTTGGTGTATGACCCTCGTTGATCCATGTTTCATCAAGATAAAATATTTTTCTTTTTTGGTTTCGCATTTCCTTTATGGTTCTTAGAAAATGTCTTCTCCATATGACAATATCGCTTCTTTCTAATAAAATAGAGTTTCTGGATTCTTTTTCCAGGGAAGCCTATTTCTTTTAAAAGTTTCCATAACGTACTTCGACTCATTTCTGGGTAATCCTTATCATCTCGAAACTGAGACAAGAACTTTATCCAATGTTGGAAATTCTTGTCTAAAGAAGAATTCATGCACTTTCCGTCGAAGTCCTTCTTTAAAATGATATTCTATTTGAAAATTTTGGTTTCCCTGGAGCATTACGTGGCATTTGAAAACTACCACATTTCTCTTCTTTAATAACTCTCCAACACCAAGTGTACTGCTAACTAACTCAACGGTCTCATCAACACTTTAACATAAACGTTTGTCTGTAAATGATTTAAAACAATTAAATATTAATGTTTTTTCATTAACTGTTAAAGGACCAATTTTTCGGCGTTTACACGGCACTTCCAAATTTTCCATAACACTAGTATACACAATGAACTGCACCTTGCAACTGAAGTACCTACTTTTAGTGAACTGTTAAGAATTTTGAATACGCCACTTGGACCTGCTCTACAAAATGGAAAAAACCCACTATCACATTTTCTGTGGAATAAGTTTAGAAGGTAATTGTCTAGTCAATTACTGTCGTAGATTCCTGGAATTAAAAAATTAAATGTTTGATTGTTGAAACCCTTACTTCGTGGAATGCACTCATTTCAGATAAAATAAAACGTTTTATTTTATCTAAAGAATTAAACTTTATTTTTCAAAATAGATAGGTACTTATTAAACTTTTATTGGTTATATATAACCAATAAAATAAACATCTTACATTTTTTGCAAATTCATTAGTACCTGTTAACCTCCATCACTCCGACACTGGCAACCTTATTCAGGGATTAGTAACCCTCACAACTATTGTATTCTATTCTGCTCCAACCTTTATACCTGGTGGTCATACTCAATTTAAAATTGTTTTCCTATATACTTCTGTAAACTTGTTGACAAATATCTGTTTTTCATTGAGTCACCCGTATCAACAGTTTAGGGATTTGCATACATAATTTATTGTTTTATTACTCTCTCATACATAAAAATACACTATAGTAATTGTACGCTGCGATTAATAATAGTTCTTCTGGTTGTTATCCCAGATTCTCTTATCGCTTTCTCTAGTGCAATATTGAATAGAAGGCATGATAGGCTGTCTCCTTGTCTAAATCCTATCTGAGACTAAATTCTATCTGGGATTGCTGAATTCGGAATGCTGAATTCTATCATGGCCTTGTACAGTGCGTTTCTTTCAACACTATCATAGACACATCTAAAATCAACAAACAGGTGATGAGTATCAATGCCATACTCATATGTTTTTTCCAGAGCTTGCCTTAGAAGGAATATTTGACCGGTGGTTGATCTTTCTTTACGAAAGCCACTGATATTTATCTATTATGTCTTCACAATATCCCGGTGATAGTCGGTCGTGAAGAATATATCCAAAATATTTTGTATGTTACGTTTAGGAGGTTATTCCTCTGTAGTTGTCACATATTGTTTGATCTCCTTTCTTGTGGATAGGTACAATGATACCTACATTTCAGTCTTCTGGCAACTTTATTTGCTTCCAGATCAGTTCTTCCAGTCTACATATACAGTATGTCAGGTTTTTTTGCCATGCTTTAAAAGTTCTGAAGGAATGCCATCTGCCCCAGGAGCTTTGTTTTCTTTCAATTTCTGTATAGCTTGGATGACTTCTACCTCTGTTGGGATGTTATCTTTCTCTCTTTCATCGTCAATACCCTCGAGTTGGATTTCTGATTCGTCCTCACCTCTTATATTCACCCTTTCCTCGAAGTTTTCTGCCCATCTTTCTAGTATCTGGTCCTGATCACCAATGATCTCCCTTATCTAATTATCTAATTATCTTATACCTGGTTGATATTTTACAAACTTAATTTTACTGTGTACAGGGTGTTGCGATTTTTGTAACAAGTCAAACACCTGAAATCTTGCTGAAACTGTGTTATTTAGTACGTATATTAAAGAAATAAAAAACTACATATATGGTTTACCTGTTTGGTACGATATCTCATCAAATCGAACTGCTTAGTCTTATCGATGATCTGCGTATCAAGAAGCTCCATCACCTCCTGCGGAGATTTATCCATCCAAGATCCGGTGACACCCTCCAACGTTTTGTTTTTCAATCGGAATTTCGTCTGCGTACTCTTGCTCTCGTGAAGGTTTACCACTAATTGCGACAACTCCTTTTTCAGCTTCACAATTTCGTCTATATTTGACTTCCTTTCAGCCTCGCAATCTTCGAAGAGAGCTTTTCGTTGACCCTCTGGAAAAGAGAAAAAGAAAAATAGACAGGAAAATAAAAGACAACGAAAAAGGAAACAACAATTTACTTTGTTATACAAATTGGCTTTTATATTATAAAAGAACAAATATTTTACAGTTTTGCTAATTCCTTAACTACCGATTTGAACCATTTTCTCTCAGATCTCTTAGCATATGACAGAGCATTGGAATAGTTTCCATTGTTTCTAAGTCCCTATGATTAGGGTGTTTATCTCTAAAGTGTTACACTTCCTTTCAATTACTTCTATTCAAAACAGCAAAGCATATTAGAATAATTCAAATCAACTGATTGGATGGGAGAACTATTCAAACACTCAATTAATACTGTTGCTTGAACTGTCAACTTCCTATGTTTATATATATTTTTAGATGATAAGGCGAACATTCTAGATTTTTAATGCTTTTTCTTTTTACCACCCTGAGCCAACAGGGTGGATAAGTTCCATGGTTGGAGCTAATTTCTCGATATGAACTACCTTGGGTTTACTTGTATCCGAAAACTGGATGCGGTAGATTAGAACGTTTATTTTCCGCAGGATAGTGCAATAGCCTTCCCAGTTTCGTTGAAGTTTCGGACCAAGTCCTTTCTTACAATTGAGATTGTGTAACCATTCTAGGTCACCTCTCTCGAAAGTTGTACCAGTAGCATGAAGCATGAAGACATAGTAACAGAATGTTTAAAAAAAGAAGAAAGGGAGATGTCCATAATGGTGTGACGAAAGAAATAGGACAAAATGAGAAGGGTGGCGCAGTGGACGGAGTCTCTGATTCCTAATCTGAGAAGATGGATGGACTGCAGGCAACGGCGTTTGAATTACTTCCTGACGCACATGCTCACAGGATATTGTTGCTTCAGGACATACCTTTACAAATTTAAATAGGCAGCAAATGACAAATGCCTGTACTGTGAAATATCGGACATTGTCTCACACACTCTATTGGTATGCGAGAGATGGATAGATAAGAGGAGCCTGCTTGAGAGATACTAGGAATTAGGATGCAATCAGTCATGGAACTGGTGGATAAGATGCTTAGGTATAGGTAGTTAGATCGGTAGAGAGTAGTTCAGAGATATGAGAGGAGAACTTTGGAGAGAAAGGAGCAAGAAGAAAGGCGACCGGAAGGGAGGCAGGGTGTCCAGGAGCAAGCAGGAAGATAAGGCAGAATAAGAAGGGACGAGATTGAACGTAAACAGGGAGGAACAGTGGCAGAGAAGAATTCGGTCGTAATAGGAATGAGAGCTCAGGTGAATGCCGTGCCAATCAGAGAGATCGGCCTGAGCAGGGTTTTTTTAGCAGGTAGGTCTCTGGCATTGACGGCGATGGTGTCCGAACAACCCCTGCGTGCTGTATCGGATATTATCGTGGCCATGTTAGAGAAATTTTACATAACCGAGGCTAGAAGGCGGTTCTGCCCACCTTCTAGGACCTAGGTATGTTTCGATCATTTGGACCATTCCTCTTCATAAAAGACGAAAAAAAAGGTAAGCGTTACTCAAAGAGTGCTCCACGGAGCCGCGGTGCTCCTTAATACCTCCGGTTGGGCTCCGCCGGGTAATTTTGTAAAGAATTACCAATTTTATTTTTTATGTAGAATTATACAAAAGTTTTTATGTAGAATTGTAGCGATGAATTCATCAAATTCTAAGAGATCTCATTTTCTTTCAATTATTTGAATCGTGATACTATTGAAGGTAACGATGATGAGCTATCCTCCATTTTTGAGCATTTCGGCAGTCATAAAATGTTTTCTCATCGCAATCATTTTGTTCTACAATAATTATTATTATCTTTTATTATTTTACTGCTGTTCTAGGTACCTATACATTATGTAAAAATCATTAATTTGGTTGTTTTTATTTTTTAAACTGAGCGCTGAGCCATTTGATATGTTTATCAGAACCGACGTGAATAAATATTTATTAATAACGAGAAAAACATTGTTTTAAATAAGGATGTATAAAAAATATTAAGAAATAATTTAGTTATACACAATAAACTTAACGATTAATTAGTAAAACAAGAATATAAAATAGACAAATTAGAAAGTCAATTTTATAGTATACATTATTTATTTATTAAGTGTTGTCTTTAATTGAAACCATAACAATTTTATTATTTTCCTGTAGGTTAAATACACTGGCTGCAAAAATTTTAGCATTTTTTTTTAATTTTGGATCTTCTAGGCTAGGCTATAATTCGCTTTGCAAATTGCAAATTACTGTATGACTGAAAAGTAGTAACTCAACCTGAAGAGACTTGCATACCCATTTGGACATTCGCACATACAACATCAGGGTGGGGAGAATTGGGTCGAGAAAATCAGAGATAAATATTCTGACCAATGCTTCTCAGGCTCCCTTTGCTCAAGATGGGCCTATTCAGACTGCATTGGGTGGGATTCTGCAGAGGGTTATACCTGCGATGACTGTCAATAATTTTTACATTAAAACACATATTTTTTACTTTCTTACTGATTTTCTTGAATTATTACCCATTAAGGCACATTCGTTAATCGTTTTATAACAAAAAAATGTTAAATAGACATTGATTTTTATTTTAACAATAACACAAACAAATTGACTGGCATTACCCACACTCATGACCGGTATTGTCCATAATATGGTAACAATACCGGTCAAAGGTACTTTTTTATTTTTTGTCTCTGTCAAAGACAAAATTTTTGATTTTTTAAATTGAATGTGTCTTGCAATAAGTTATGACCGGTTTACGCCTTAAATTTGATTCACAGAGTTTTACTTTTTTATAATAAATTTTCTCCTTAGGTGACCGTGATTTGCACACTTTACCCTACTTATGTAAATTGTTCGAATCAAAAAATATTTTATCTGTGAATAATGTATTGTTATGATATGTAAAATCGAGAAAAATATCGGTTTGCTTAAAATATTTCGAAGTTCCAAAAAATTAAAATAATTCAGATAAGTAAGATAATAAACAGCAAATATTTCGAAGAATGAAAGTATTTTAATTTTGGATTACCTGTATTAAACAAAACGTAAGATATGCATAAATTATTTTCTTTGTTAAAATATATTTGAGTGACCTGCATAAGCTTAAGTGAAATCCTAGACAATGGAAGCGGGTTTTCCAAATAAAGTTGTGCAGTAATTAGGACAATAGAATAGATTTTAGAAAGATATGTTTTTGTTAGTTCATAAGAATTGGTAGAAAAAGATTATTTTGTAAATAAGTTTTAGGAAATTTTATAATTGTAGGTAAAAATTTGTTTGTGTTATAAAAATGAAGAAATGGGAGAGGTATGACGCGTTTTGATTGGATGAGATTGAAAAAAGGTGGGATGGTTGATTTGAGAATGAGACGTTAGTTAGTTTTTGAAGAAAAAATATAGTCAGTTGGTTTTCAAGGGTACAAGGCGAAGGGCCGTTGTTCTCGGGTAGTTTCCCAGAGGTAGGAAGCAGTAGCAGTGAAAGTTTGTGAGTTTTCGTGTAGTTAGTGTATCTGACAGAAGCTGATCCAGTAAAAGATTGTAAGTCATATTTTCTACTTATATTCCAAGAGTCACTGTTCAGGCCAACGAGAGATTCAATTTATCGTAAAGAGAAGATATTCCAAGAGCCATTTTTCACTCAGGCCAACGAGAGATTCAGTTTATCGAGAGGAGAAGAGGCTAGCATAATTTGAACGATTCGTGCATTTGAAGGAGATCATTAAGGACGATAAACTTGCAAACAATTTGTTGTAAGATTGCTGATTACCTAGAGAGCTGCTAAGAGTAGATAGTATAGGCTACAAGGAACAAGGATTTGGACCACTCATCATTGCATCAGAGAGAGATAGTTTTGTTTTTCTGCAGTTTTTCTTTTATTGATAACACAATTTTTACACTTACTTTAGAAAAGATATAAATATTTTGATTAGGAGATTTAGAATAATAATTGGGATTTTGAGATTTTAACTAATATTGTGTGTACCATTAATTTTGAAGGTTCACGTACGTAGAACAAAATTTTGAGAATCATTATATGAGATATTGTTTATTGAAAACATTTGAGTCTGAATTTTATTTCATTATTTTTATTTCAATATATAGTGTTATATCATATATGTTTTTTTTATTATTCCGGTATTCTTTGGACCTTACCTTTCACATGTAAAGCATAGATATTGAAGCACGAATATAACCCTGAGATAAGAGAATTAAAAAGTGTGATAGAATCATAATCATATCATTTAAATAATTTTAATTAATTAATTAATTAATTAGCTGATTAATTGCTTGGCGCACTAAGACTTTAAATATCACAATAGTATATAAAGATATTTAATTATATTATTAAACAAAAAGACCTTATTATTAATGGTCTGCATCAACAAATAAACGTATTAACAGACCAAATCAACTTTTTATATCCCAATAAAAAAGGAAATCCCATGTTTATCAATGAAGATAAAAAACCTGAGGATAAATAAGTATTTGCCCAAAGCAACAAATTACAAAATATTCATACAGAAAATCATAACAGCGTTGCCAAATCTTCTCAAAAATCTTAAATTACTATAAAACAATCTTCCAGTGCTATTTTAGAAGCTGAAACTGCTGCAAAATGTAACAAGTATATTAGTTTAATCCAAGATATAATACCTGAGTCGGAAAAAAGTCA